CAGATTATTAATAATTTGAAAATTCTATATAATTAACATTTTTACTTCTTATTTTCTAGCTTGATATTATGGATCACGTCTTTTTTCTCTAATTTATTCAAGAAAATTACGTTTTCGCAGAGTTTCATCAGCTACATTATTCATGATATCAATTTTCTGTATTCGATGTAGTGCTTACTTATGTATGTTTGCTTGGTGCATTTCGTCTAGCATCGCCCACGCAACCTTTCCTGTTCATTTTTCAACTTCTACAAACATGACGAATTCAAATAAAGTAAAAATAGAAGGTTAGCTAGAAAGGATTCTAGAATATTCCTTATTGCGATATAAGATTTGTGAAAATAATTTCCATACTGCGGCGAACATTTGAAGTCTTGAACATAGTGGAAAATTGAGCTATTTCATGTAAAGGTGTCGCATGCAGACAACAAATAGATTTTGCTACGGTTAAATTGAAAGTTTGTTTCATACTTGAGACGAAAAAGCGACCTTGACTAAAAGCGGCGCTTCATATTTATAATTGCGAGTTTATCTTCTAAGTCGGTCTAATGACGACAAACGAAAGTGATACTTTTATGTCTTTTCTTTGTGCTTGTTTATACAATGTGTCCCAAAAAGAAGTGCTTGAACCAAAATGGTAGAAAGTCAATGCGAATTCATCGCCAAGAAACCTATATTGTTGGGGTAACAGTCACCTATTTTTTGTATGGCAGCCATTTAGAGTTTTTGTCTATGAAAAACGGTGTGATTGTGAGATTCGATCATAATTCAAAATGTGATCGGTCAGCTTTAAGAAACAACAGTTTCATAAAGTTAGTGTGTGCATCGTTGACATAAATTGAGATCCCCGTTCGTTACTGACTTATTCCTGTTTGGAAGGAGGGTCACGTTCTCGGAAAATTCACGTAATATTCACGTTCTCCCGAGATCTGGCCCTTCAGCTCGTAAACAAGCCCGTGGAGAATACGGTGTTGTTCCACTGCACCACCTATCAATCCCAAATTAAATCGCCTTTCGATTGCCTGGAGTGAACCACTCGCCAGATATTAACCGCTTACCAGATACTAAATTAGTTATCAGGGGGGTGTATGAGAACCTGTGATAATAACCTGTGAATCAACTGCATTTTCTATCATTACGACTTTATAGTAATCACATCATTTCTCAAAGGCAAGAACTTCAAAACGAAAACCAGGTGGCTGCGACTCCAACAAACATAAACATAATTTTTTTAAGTGATGAATAGTGATGACTAGAATGGGTCTTCACCTTGCAGTCTTGGTCTTGGTCAAAACCAAGACTGTCTTTATACTAGCAATGTAACAAAAGCAAGACTAAACGAACAATACCAAGACTAAAACCGAGGCAGAATATGCAAGACCAAGACCTAATATGAAGACTAAACGAAAAATTATTACTTGCGGTGGAATTATAAGTTAAACTGTTTTTTAGAGCAAAACGTTTTCTGTATTTGAAATTTTCAATTCTTTACTAGATTTCAACATTAAATATAAAAAACAATTCCACAGTCTGAGAGAACGGATCTAAAAGAATAGGCTCGGAGTAAGTGTTCTTTGTTCCTATGTTTGGATAACACATGGTTGAAATACAGAGACAAACTAATTTTCCACTCGCAATCTAAATACATTGAAATCGATTAAATAATGAGTCGGTTTGGTGGTGTAAATTCTTGATCATCAATAAAAAAATTATAGTTCATTAATATATTACCGGAATGAAAACAAATATATATAATAAACTATAAAAATATTCATTTAAATTACATGTTGTAAAGAGCCATATTGATCTATATTAAATGCACAATGTATTTAAGGTACTTAATTGGATAAGAATTAATGCTGTATTACCTACAATCGCTTCGTAAATAAGTCATTATTTCTCATAAAAAGTAAAGGATAAAAATGGTTATTGTGGGTTATCCCTAAGAGATAGACATATACCGTCGCGGACTTTTTTTGTAGACCCTTTTAAGATGTACAATATTGTAGTACATTATTTTAATCTATCTCGTAGGGTTCAGCCAGCGTTTGCAATGTAAGCGCAAAAAATGTGTTTATATGCGACATCCCATTAGAAACCTCTAAAATTATCAGTGTTTCCCTACTATATTATGCATGTATTATACATATAAACCTTCCTCTTGAATCACTCTATCTTTAAAAAAAAAACGCATCAAAATCCGTCGCGTACTTTTAAAGATTTAAGCATACATAGGGACAGACAGCGGGAAAGCGACTTTGTTTTATACTATGTAGTGATAAGTATTCGCGCTGACTTTCTACCATTTCTGTTTGAACACCCATTTTTAAGACACATTGTTTAGTATCTCAAAACCAAGAAGCTTGCTTTCTTGTGATTTGTGAATCTCTAAAAAACAAAGATCATCATATTAATAATTTTCTAAAATAATTCTAAATAAATCCTATAGTTATATGTCTTTCTTTTGTAATTTTTTTATGTATGCAGGCCTAACTTGAATCTAAAAACGAAATCAATATAATCAAGATAATTATAAAGCTTGGTACCTTAGCGAATTCAACGTTCATAGACTTTTAATGACCTCAAGCCATCGGTTGATGAACCTCCGCGATCGATCTAGAGATATTTAAAGATCGAGATAGGCGACCTTGTTGCTCCACTGACATGTAACTTTATAGCTTTAGCCTTTGTTATAACTCAGTGATAGGTATAAAAAAGGACATCATTTATTTAACGAAGAGTTTGTTTACAACCGCAATCATCAATAATATTTTATGTCTTTGCCATGCCATTACAGGTACTCAATACTCATTTACCAAACCAGTGTCTTTCCATTGGCGGCGTTAAAGAAATTATGGATTAGATAAGGGTAAACAAAAACCGTAAAACAGCTCAGTGGAATTTTTTGTCTTTTACTTTTGGCCAAAGAAAAATAAAACCGTTCGTTTTATAGTGTAATTATAAAATTTTGAACATTTACTTAAAGTTAATTCTTAAATATTCAAAAATTACTAACAAAACATTACCAAAAATCCTGTTTTTTATAAAAACTTTTTAAATTTCCTTTTATTTTTTTAAATCTGTTACTACACAAAATTAAAAATTATCGAATGTCTTCTGCTTTCACATTTATATTATACAACAGTCCTAAATAATATTTAGTGAAACAGGAATAATAGGTAACATTAAGCAGTTGGCAAATTAGAAAGCCAATTGGAAAATTTGGTAATCGGAACTAAACCATCGTATTGTAACGTAACCCTGAACTAAAATCGTTATTTTTGTTGCACAAGTAAAATTGCAGGGTTAAGATCTATTCCAAATAGAAATCAATAAGTAAATACATACTTTATCATGATTGATAACAATGGTTTCTTATGTTTATGTAAGAAGTAATTTATCTAGGAAGAAACACCCTTAACGCAATTAGAAACTCTTTAACATAGACAATATTCCAACTCTCAACTAACATCGCTATTTATTGTTAGTCAAGTAACTTAACGGGGTGAAAATGTACCCCAAATAGAAAATCGATAAATTAATACTGTAAAGTGGTTGATGCTAATAATTTCTTATGTTGATATAGAAAGTAGTCTGTTTGATAATGTTTAAAATATACGAAACATTATAATCATATTTAGAAATTTAATGTAGAAAACAATAAGACAAACGAAATTGTCATCGAGGAGTGAAAAACTTAAGCACTTTCATAGCTAAAAATGAACCTGAGGTGTAAAAAACGCCGCGCTCTCGGTTAAGGGTTAAGGACGAAATAATCGACTTCTGTTGTCAGTGATAGTGAAGTTTCCCTTTTTGTGTGTTTGCTGTTTTACGTGAAAATATTTTTGAATTTTAAATGTACGTTATTTGCCTGGGTGACAAAAATCCACAACAGTAAACAAAATCTCAACGAAACGCAAAATTCAATTACAAGAATGTAAATGCTATAATTATATTTTTACGCTTTTTATTTTATTTTTCAGAAGTTGTCAAACAGGAAAGCACGTATTGGTTGCTCCCTCGGGGATTGGCCTGGCGTAACATCGGGAAACATTATGAGAGGTGAGTTTTTTGGGTTTTGAGTCGAACAAATTGAAATCGTATATATCAACAAGTTCAAAATGAAAACCATTTTTTGTTATGAAAAGTCATTCAGATTCGTGAAGTGAAAGAATTGCGATCTGAATTTGATGTTTTAAATAAAAAAGAAAAATGCTGAATTGTATTCAAGAAAATAAATTAAAATTTCTAAAGGATTATAATTAAGTCATTGTAAAGATTATGACAGCTAATTGTAGGCGTAAAAGAAATTAAAATTGTTTAATTAGAAGGTAATACGCATGTGTTAGTAAAAAAATATACGCGACGAATATTGTACAAAAAAATAAATACTGGCAGTATAATTTAAGAAACCGAAATGAAAAACGTAGATAACAACAATGCCTTTATCTTATTTGTTTTAACAACAAAGAAACTATCAAAACTTTTATGTGTTTCCGAGGGTTATCTTAACATGGCATAAAACTGTCATGAAAAACGTTTTTTTTTTTTAATAAAACGATTTTTCAGGCAACACAAAATGTTTGTTTCCAATAAGCCTGCCGTTTTATTATTCTTTTTATTTTCATTTTATCTATTTGATCCTTTTTGTAAAATTGTTCCGATTCTCCAGTCACATTTGATTACCTTCAGTAGTATCTTTTTTTTACTACTGAGCAGCGGCGCGAATAGAATTTAGGATTGATGGTGTGATTATTAAGAACAGATGTATTCAGATCAATATCAAAATGATTTTGTAAAGGTTACGTAACAATCAGACATATTTTTCGTGTATGATGTATGAAAATTTAAGATATGAAATACCTAGCTACCGAAAATTTACAAAATTCTGTTTATTTAAATGGTACCTTTAAAAGTGTTCAACAGTATTACCCCTCAGTATGGGTAAGTGAATAATATTTATTAAAATGATTAAATTATATCATGCTGAATTTACTCACCTATATTAGCAACAATATGAGCCGGTTGCATACTGTAAAACGGTGAAGCAAAGCTCAATTCCAAAAGAATACTGGTGAATGAGACTATTGTTCCTAATAACATCTGCAAAGAAAAATACATGTAAGTGTATTTATTATTGTACATTTTGCGTGTTATATGCTATATGTAAATCGATTTTTTTACGTATGATGTTACGAAAACAAGCCATGATCTATACAGGATATAAAACAAAAAATGCCGAGTTGTAAAATGGATGCAATAAACAATCGTACGGTGAGTTCAGCAGGGTAGTTAAGGGCAAATCTTTTTTTAAAAAAGTCCGAAGCCGGTCCTGTGCGTGAATTGACAACACAGGTGTCTACCGAATAGCGTAGTACGATAAAAATTTTGTAGCAACATGGATGGAAAATGTAAACATTGGCGATTATCAAACGTTTAGATTAAATAAATTAAATAAGTTAATTACAGGCAGCACTATATAATTGTACGAGCACAAAAGAAAGAAAAGCATGTAAGTTACGTAAACATTAGTCGATAAATGAGAATCTGAATAATTGTATTTTTATTAAGGTAAATTTCTATTCTATCATAGAGGTATTTTACCTTTTGCGGATACTTATGCCAAGAAAATCAAATACGTCTCTCCAAAATTTTCACGCCGCACATTTACTGAAAACATTTCATAAAATCGCGAAGAATTTGCGAGAGTGTTCACGAAACCTCCGAAAAAAATAATGCAAAATTTCAAATTTTCGACTAAAAGCTTCTAACATGACGTGTTCGAAATATTTATATCACCTAAACTTCAATAGACAGAAGGTGCATTTTCAGCCATTGAACAAAGTCCACCTCTTTTGCAATAAAAGCTCAAAATGTTCTGGCTAGGTTGGGTTATGTTAGGTTAGGTTCAAAGACTTATTCAACTAATTTACGGTAAATCAAAGGAGTACATTAAACATCATTGGACCAAACTGTTGACTATTTCTGAAAATGCATTAATTGAAGGGAATTACAATTAGGGAATGTGTTAGGTGTTTTAACGTAGTAATGCGAAGAGAATGGCCAATAATAATAAGTATATAGTAATAATTGATAGCTTTCTTTTCAAAATAAATCTGTTTCACCATATCTTATTCTAAATGCGAATGTAGCTGCAAATATAAAAGAAAGTAGGTGAGAAATTTCTATCTTATTTTATAAACTAATAGGTGGTCTAATTATGTTGAATTCAAAACTCTCTTTAAGTGTAATATATTGAGACTTGCTATTGTGTTCGGCAGATCAAACACATAAAAGTAACTAATCTAAAAGTAGGGCTGAATGTTGTTTATATAAACTTTCGTGCTTTATTTTAATTTAATTTTTAGGTATTTTTTTGTGAAAACAAATTATAAAACGTAATATTTCAAAAATTTCTACCAGGCAGAACGGGAGTTAAATAATTGCAGTTATTTGTCTCACAAATGTTTGTTACTTAATTTGCATTTCAAGCTTTAGAAGGATAATTGAACATTCAAATTGGATTAGTTCAACAACCGGTTAGATCGTTTATCATTGGTATAATAATTATTTCAATTACGTGCTTTGTTTTTCAAGATCTTGTGAAAATAATGGTACATAGATATCTTTTAGTCGAAGATATAGATACGGTATAAAGTTGGTGTATTTGTGTTTTGATAAATCAGTTAGCTGTTTAATAATTTAATTAGTCGAGTATGTAACCAACTGATTTTTTGGAGCATGCAGCAGGCACTGGAAATACTTGCATTTGAAATGCAAATACAAAATAAAAAATACCTATTTTTATCTTGCATTTAAATACTTTTTTGAGAAAAGCATGTTGTATTTTATTTAAAGTACTTTTCTAAAAGTATTTTCCATTTGTAAAATGCAAAATGCACTTTTGCTGTTAATAGTTTTGCTAGTATCACTTATCAAACTATATAAAATGATGAATTTATAGTTGGCCACATTGGCCATTGAAGGTATTAGAAGATTAAAAAGAGGACAAAGAGGCATTCCATGAATGTCTTCTAATTCTTTAATTGAAGAGAGCCCAAAAAATTTTAAACTCTTTGCAAATGGATAATCTAAAATATTAGATCGATATTGTTTTCCAGGCTAAATGTCATGGTCCGTGGAATATTGAAGTTCCAAATTGATATCAACACCTGCCAAATCACCACTTATCCTTTCTTTAGCAACGAACTACGAAATTCTATAAATTACGACAAAACAGCCCTCAAAACAATATCGAATTGATATACGCCAGGTGTATAAAACTGAAAAGTACAAGATATTGTTGTGTGCTACAAAATACGTGTAATACAAAATTCTTAAAAAAAAATCGAGAAACTTAACTTATTGGATGAACCCAAAGCTGATAGAACTATGGTTTCCATTTCTTTCTCTTATTACAAAGTGTAAAAGATCGGAAACAAAATGGGGTTGTAAATATTTTGATATAATTTGATAAATTGATGTTGATTTTACATTAATAAAATTATTTGCAACCCTATTTTGGCTTTCATATTTTTTCCGGTAAACAAACTATTTTGACATCAATGTCTTTTTTCCAATTAAAACGGATGACAAAGGCAAATGATGAAGCATATAGAACAATTATTTGTTGCTGAACTGAAGAAACTATAATATAAAGATAGAAAAACTATATCACATTCACTTCAAACAGAAAACTATAAATCATAGTCAATCTTCCCAGCTGGTGATATAATGTAAACACTACTTTTAGTCTAAAAAAAACTCCATCATTTTAAAAATGAGAAAATACCTACAACTATTTTATACCTACTTATGTAAATGTAGAAATTTAAATAGGTATTAGGTACCTACTACCAAAAAGTATTAACTTAAAAAAAGTATTTGTAAAATACGTATTTTGCATTTAGCATTTAAAATACAAAAGGGAAATCTATTTTGTATTTTACATTTGAAATAACAAATCAAAAAAGAAACTTTTTTCTCTACCAGTATGAAATTAGGACCTTGATTACTAGTTAGTGAATGGCGCGGAATTAGCAATATACAGTGGCTGAATTCGTATTCGTTAGGTATTTTTTTTAATTAAATTTAAATTTATAAAGAAGACATTTCGGAAAGAAATGTGTTTTGGTAGAGAATCATGCTGAATTTACTCACCTATATTAGCAACAATATGAGCCGGTTGCATACTGTAAAACGGTGAAGCAAAGCTCAATTCCAAAAGAATACTGGTGAATGAGACTATTGTTCCTAATAACATCTGCAAAGAAAAATACATGTAAGTGTATTNTATTTATAAAGAAGACATTTCGGAAAGAAATGTGTTTTGGTAGAGATTTTACCTTATGTTGTATAGGGAAAAATCTGTTCGTTTAATGTTTTATAAAACCGTTCCTTCTGCTAAAATTTCAAACGAGACACTAAGGATAAAAGCAGTTGCTAATTCCTTTTAAGAAGATTATTTAGAAGGTAACAAGCACTACCCTTTAATTAAGCTACTTTGACCCGTTATTCCGACAGAACATTCATAGTAATTATTGCGAGTGAACGTATGTAAGCACTTTTACATTGTAAAAGTAACTTAATTGCCCTAGAGAGCTTTACGCTTCAAATAACATTAATTCTGTTCTTCACTTAAAAGCTAAAGTGAATTCGAAACTCAGTAGTTCTTGGATTATTACAATTTCTGTCGCTACAAATAAACACTTGGTGTTGAGTATGCTATTGTTTAAATTTTATTCAGGTATCATAAACACAGAAAAAGAAAAAAGATATTAATAACATGTATTTTTCAACTAGAGTCGGCAAAGCCCCATGCATTAGAAGATTTCCTTTTACAAACTTAAATTAATGGGTTGTAGGTCCTAAGACCAGTTGGTCTACATCTATTCTTCATAATTCCTGTTTCTGCTTCTAATATAACCCTAATGACCTTGCATACTTGCATACCAATATTGTTGATTTACTTTTATTTAATTTCTTATCATACCGTTTTATCAATATCGCACTCATCTTATTTAACGCTATCTCTCTAACTCCTTCTTACCAGATATTAATGCTGATACATCAGCTACAAATCTAAGCATACTAATCTTTGCCCCTGTATATCTATCACTAAAGTTGACTTGTCTTTTATGATGTTTGGCGTGTCTTGCATGAAATGCGTGAAATGCATGCCTTGGATTAAAAAGTAGCTGGTGATAGTGTGCATCCCTGTGTGACCCTCTTCAGAATAACTACTTTTCTTCGTTGCTGCTCAAGTTTCATATCTGCTTGTTGCTCTTTATACCAACATATCACTCTTTTATCTCTGTATCTCATCCCTACATTTTTTTGTAAATTTAACATATTGTCCCATTTAACATTGTCAAAAACTTTTTCTAAATCTACAAATCCTATATTATTTTCTCTATTGTTACCTGTAAAGCTAAAATGACCTCTTACATTGCTCTAATATTTCTTTTAAGCCAAAATTGCGTGTTTGTCATTGTAGTAGGTACTCTATATATATTTTAGAAAAAAGCATTTGTTTTATAGGGTTCTCAAATGTGTCCACACGGAACAGCTAATTTATTAATCCCTATCTTCCCATTCCTAAATATTTTTTGGGTTTCATCAATGTCGTACAGTCAAAAGTTATCTAAAATAATTCACGTCGCTACAAGGTAAATGTTACAGAAGAAATGGAAAATCTATAGTTCAAGTCCAAGTGTGCTTTTTTCTAAGCATTATCCAGGAGAATTAGGTTACAAGAAGTAATCAGCAGTCAACGGTTTATTTAAATAAAACTACTCTTCCTTTAGTTCTTTGTGAGAAGCAGGTCTGATGTAGATGGTCGTTTTACTAATTAAAATTAGCTTTTTATTAATACGTTAGGAATATTATCATGAAATATCTTATTATGATTACGTGATCTAGTAAGTATGAAACTGTATCCCATAATAGTAAATGAACAGTTAGGTACATTATTATTGAAAAATTCATATAATTAATTATGCATTTACTTCTAAACTAATTTATCATGAAGTAATGGTCGTTGCGATTTTTGTGTCACAAAAATTATAAAATTACCGTACTTTCAAGTATAACGCTAAACACTTGAAAACTAATTAGTTTCCCAGTCTTAATTGCCTCGATTGTTTCTAAAGTTATCGACTGTCTAATCTTCAGAGTTCGATTTTAGGTGAAATTCAGTTAGTAACTAAACACTATAAATTACGGAACTTGATTTCCTTCTCTTATAGGTCCTGTATGGATAGATATACAGGATTAAAAGATTAGTATTAGTAGATTTTCAGATAATATAGCAATATTAGCATTTAGCAAGGAGAAGTTAGAGATAGCTTTAAATAAAATGGAAGCGGTTTTGACAAAACGGTATTGTATGAAAATTAATAAAAGTAAAACAAAAATACTTGTATGCAAAGGAAAAAAAAAGCAGGGAAAAAGCGAATTATAGGAAACGGAAAATTAGAAGAAGTGGCCGATTTAAGCTACCTAGGAAGTCAGATAAGTCAGGACGGAAGGAGTAGCAGGGATATAAAGGAGAGGATAGCGCAGGGTCGAGTTGCCTTCAATAAAAAGAAGTCACTTCTACGGTTTATCTAGAAATTCGAAAAAGATTTTTAAGGTGTATGCGAAACATGGACAGTGGATGCGGAGGAATAAAAAAACTGTTAGAAGCGTTCGAAATGTGGTGCTGCAGATGGATGATGAGGATATTGTGGATAGAGAAAATTAGAAATGAAGAAGTATTAGAAAGAATAGGAGAACAGAGGACTTTATGGAAGTCAATAAGAAATAATCAGAGACATCTTAGAAGCAGAAACAGGAGTTAAGAGGAGTAGAGGTAGACCTAGATTAGAGTACTGTTCGCAAATAGTTAAGGATGTGGGATGTTCTAGTTTTGGGGAAATACCAAGATTATCTCAGGATAGGAAAGGGTGAAGGTGCTTGTCCAACCAGTCTTAGGACTGGCGACCTTATGATCATGATATGCAGATTAATGTATAAATAAATGCTATAGATTTGTACAATAACCCATTTGGATGAGTCACAGATGAGATCAAATTGGAGTAATAGTAAGATATGAGGGTTCTATCTACATTTTAGGATTAATTAATTTTAATGGCATTTTTAAAGAGTGTCATAAAAAATACAAACAAAGGAATACTTAGATTTTCACAAACTTTTTACTTAGTAACATACGTTTCGCCATAATATTGAGTATTAACTACTGACTAAAATGACTGCGTTAGTTACTGAAATATATTAGGTGCTACAAATATTTGTTTTTTATTTGTATTTAATATGGATTTTTATTATGCAAAAGTCGAAACAATTCAATACCTTAAAAAATTAAACGATCAAAAGTGATCTTTAGCTGGATTCATTGTTACGCAAGTTACGTATAATCTTTTACAAATTTCTAACAAACTACAAATTTATTGCTACGTTTTCAGATAAAAACGGTAGACTATTGTGAAGGAATCGAGTGACTTACTCCTTCTTGAAAACAATTTCCTTTGTATTTATTCACAATGCGTTTGTAGTAGCAGAACATTTTAGTACCCTCAACTTTATTATGAATGGATTTGTTTAGTTCGAGTTCCGCTCTTTCGTTTTGTGTCGACTTTTTCGTCACGAGGCTTTCTAATTTGAAACGTTTTCAGAGTGTCATTAAAATTCTTTCGGACTTATCGCAGACCTTTTAGACGTGAAGGGGATAAATTTCACTTCGATGTGCGTGAGTCAGTGCTGCATACGATTGTTCGCCAACAAGCGCATTCCAACACGGCGTCATGATTACCTGCAGGAAATTGAGTGGAAATATTATTTTGGAAGTGACCGCAAAGAATTTAGAAACGTTTACTACCGAATTATCAGAGGGTGAGGGTCCTTCAAACCAACAAATTATCATCAAAAAGTCTTCAGTTCGAAAACTGGTTGGACATACACCTCTACTTGACCTTATCTTGAGTCAATTTTCGCATTTCTCGAAAAGTGGAGCCTGACGCTGCAAGCTGGCGGAAATTTTAAAATGACGTGGATGCGCGGTGGCAAAAGTAGGCAGTTTTAGGTATAAAGATTGCAGCCCTCATTCTTCAGTATTCCTATCAGGGACGTAGATTAAATATTTAAAAACAGGGATCAGTGAGCAAGTAATAGACAAACAAACAAAAGAACTAATTGTTGATGTTGGTGACAGTAATAGACATTCCCATGATGACAGTGAATGTAAAAACTAACTATAAAACAAAAGCAATAGGTTTATTTTTTCTTTTAGATAAGTATGGTTTCTACATTATTTTCTAGTACGCTACTGTTCTATCTGTATTAATACTATAATTTACGCCTACTAAAAGCTTATTTATGTATCGGTTCCAAATGACTTACCCAAATAGGTCATAAATGGGCAAGTACCTGCGCGACCGCTCGCCAGCTTCCTTCGTCCGACCTGTACATTTTTAACTATTTGCGAACACTACTTCTACCCCTCTTAACTCCTGTTTCTGCTAGTGACATGTATCGATCGAGGCTTGCAAGCCTGAGAAGGTATCCTATCAGCCTATCTCGACTTTTTGTAATTGATTTCCATAACGTTGACTCTTTTTGATACTTGCTCATTTATAATCTTTTCTATCCACAGTATTCTTAACATTTTAATATAATACCAAATCTCAAACATTTCTAAACTTTATTTTATCCATATCGCCCACAGTTTATATTTCACACCCATACATCTTTAATAATCGTTTTCAGTGACCAAATTAATCGTTTTCGAGCACAAAAGTGATTTGTTTTTGTTAAAAGTGACCCGATCCTACGTTTTTCTTTGTTATAAGTGTAGAAAATAAACGATTTCTTCAAGTTTATTGTGTCCTATTTTTACATTAGTTCTAACACCACCTTAATATCTTTGTTCTATTTTTATTAATTTTCATATCATACCTACTCTTCTATTAACAATATATATATAAAAAAGCTGCGCTATTTGTAGTATTTTCTAAAACGCACTGTTGAGACAGCAGGTAAAAGTTGGTCTGTGTTTTGTCGGAGCTGCCTGCGACGCGCTGAAGAGATCCAAAAAGATCGAAATCGCGATCCGCGTCTGGCAGTTTCGACAGAATACAGACCACTTCGAATTATTTTATTCGATTAAGCTAACGTGCCTATTACGTTGAGGTCAGCTACGCCGGGATTCGTTTTCAGCAAGTAGATATCCACACAAGTGGACCTTGTTGGAGCATACCTTCGTAATCCTAAAATATAGCATCGTGCTACAGATGGCGTTTACTACGCAGTTTGCAGTTTCCTTCCGTTTGGCGCTGTCTTGCATCAGTCAAGACCCGAGGTCTTCTCCTTTTTGGTATATTCAATCAAGGTATGACCTCTTCACATTTCTTCATTGTTCGATAGATTCCCGAGTAAAAATAAAAAGAACTATAACACCACCGAATCGCCTCCAAATATCTGAAATGACCCAAATTACCACCGAAATGGGTCCTACAAATAAGACGAAAATTTAAATTCTAAAATTATAGCCAAAATACTACCTCTTGAAACTCTAAAACAGCTCCAAACTAGCACCACATTAAAAAAGAACCGAAAGAGCCCTTAAACAGCACCGCAACTTACCGTAAATAAAAGGTATTTTGTCGCATGTTTTATTTTGTTTTTATTTGAAAGGAGCGGTGTCGAGATCAAAGGCAAAGTGTCGCGCTGAGGGTTGCTGATTTCTTGCCCAACAGCATTGTATTTTTTGTTTAATCTAATTTACCAATAGTGGTGGAAAAATGAATAAGTTACATTTGGTATTTTTAGTTTTCTAGTCAGTAGTAAGAGTAACATGTAGTAGAATGGATGTCTTGTTTTTCCTTTTTTATAAACAGAAAAGTTAAAGCTCGTTTAACACCTTCATTGTTTTATTTTCCACAATTAATTTCTTTTGGACCCAGTTTCACGATAAAACACTTACAGATAGGGCTTCATCCCGGTAAAAAAGTTATGATTTGCCTGAATGATTTAACTGTAGCCCTATCGAAGGCTAATAAAAAGAAAAGTTCCATTGTCCGAAATATATTTTAAGTAATCGCATTAAAAGAAGACATTAAGCAGTTCTGAACCGAGATGAAATTTACGAAAGTAAAGAAATTTAGTGCTGTTTCGTTGCTTTTTTAGTATAAATACGTCGCTCTTTCGGTGGTATTTCAGTAGCTTTTTGGTCGTTTTGTACTAAATGCGGTGCTGTTTCAGTGCTCATTTCGTAGACAATCGGCGGTTTTGTCCTGCAAACGGACCTTTTTCGGTCATATTTTGGAGAATTTTATGGAGGTAGTTTGGTTGTAATTCGGTAGTGGAATTGAAAAGAATAATTTTTACTCGGGTTGTTACATGGGATATATTATGTCCTTTAAGTATGTTTACAATTGTCGCTTTTCGCATTCAGTTAACTAAAATTGTATAGATATTTTTTCAACATGGCCTACTTGAATAAACTCTCGGCAATGGTAATTGGATTATACCATTTTTTGGCGATGAAAGTTAATTACGAAATTCGCGTCAAAACTTTTGTTGCTTGGTTTGGTTAAAATTGCATATTCCAATCACTATGTAGAACATATTTGATATTACGTGATATTATTATATTACGAGTTTACGCATGAGTTGATATTGGCAATCAATAATTCAGCTCGTTTTCGCCAGGATAAATTTGCATGGTATTTGAATAATACCTATGTACATACGTTATCTTCGAAAAATGTTCATTTTGCTTGCATCTTAATCGTGGAATCTTAGCTCCCACGGGACCTTATTAAAAAACGCCAAGCGCGCAATTTTCGATTACACGACAAAAACGATTTTCGTTTATATTCTAGGCTAAAGCAATTTCAATTTCATCATTTTCTGACGTTTGTGAATTATTAACAGCTTTCTTTTATGTCAATTTCAGGCAGTAACATTTACTGTATTGAAATGCTAAATACATTACGAATATTTTGGAAACAGTTTCCTTTGTAAAACATAGGCACGCATTTGACGTAGTCAAGTGACTTTAAAGTAAAACTCTAAAACTTTATTTTTATGAAAATCATGTTTCTCAGAAGTTTCTCTCCGTGTAATTGTATATGTTATAGTTAAAACCCGTTTTGACGGAAGGGATTTGTGAAAACTAGTTTTCACTACTAAAAATTGCACAGATGAATGATTTTGATTAGTAAAGCTTTATTGTATATGATTTTTTGCTTCATTGCACTGTATAATGCAACTTATTTTTACTTTTTCGTATTTTACTAATAAGATAAAATCCAATAATTTTTTTTTAACTGGCAACAGAACTTCTTATAACTACAATTTCCTAGTCAAAACTAGTCTTTACTGAAAAAAATAAGTTTTGACTAGTAAAAACTAGATTTGACGGAAAAAGTTTCTGAAAAATAGTTTTCACTAGTCAAAACTAGCATTGGCTGAAAACTGGTTTTAACTATAACATGTATATATCTACTTCTAACTAGGAT